CGGGTTTGACACTGGCTTTTTTCTCATACTTTAATCCAACATAAGAAGGAAAACAACCTTCCTGCAAAAGGAACCTGGTGATTAGTACTGTTATCAGTACAGGATACCATGAAAAGGCGTCGTGCGTGCTGGCACGTTCAGGTTTGCTACTGGAGCTGAAATATCGACGGTTGCAGCATTCTCTGAAAACAGTCCGAAATCTGCGCCGGAAACAAGCGGCATCCCAACACTTGTCACAGCCGTGCTCACCGCCATGGACCGTAATCCCCTGAACTGTGCGTTTACAGCAGTAGCTCATGCCACGAGCTACTGCGGACAACCCTCTGTTGAGGGGTTTACGTTCCGTGGCGGTGAGCACGGCTGTGACAAGTGTTGGGATGCCGCTTGTTTCCGGCGCAGATTTCGGACTGTTTTCAGAGAATGCTGCAACCGTCGATATTTCAGCTCCAGTAGCAAACCTGAACGTGCCAGCACGCACGACGCCTTTTCATGGTATCCTCTACTGATAACAGTACTAATCACCAGGTTCCTTTTGCAGGAAGGTTGTTTTCCTTCTTATGTTGGATTAAAGTATGAGAAAAAAGCCAGTGTCAAACCCGCTGTTCTGGGGGCCCTAAACATGCTTGCCCTGTATCCTGCCAGGAACTCGTGCTTCATTTCACGCTGCAATGAAGCATGAGTGGACCGCGTTTGTTTGCTTGCCAAAGCGTGGTGGAGTTACCGCTAACGCACAGCATCATAGCACATCCCGTGACAACCAACGCTGGCCCTCATGCCGTCCTTTACACCGCTTTCGGCAGGATCGAACCCAATGGAATCATGCTCCTAACTGACCGGACACACAATGGCAGGTTGCCTGAGCGAATCATGAATATCTGGCGCCCCATCTATCAACCTGATTAAACCCTTCCCCTGCAGTCTACCACCTGCAGCAGCATGTGCCATTGGCGTATCGGCAGCAGTGCTCACTTGGGCTGAAGTACCGAAGGGGCTACTCGCGTCATTTTTTTCGCACCTTCTGATGGAACTACTGTAGTCGCCCCCAAACAGTTTTAGTCTACCCGCTCAAGTTTCGCGCATCTCTTGTAAAATTCCTGGACTAAGGACACCCACGCAAGCAGTTTCGTCCGTTTTTTTGCTTCATCCCCATGCCCTCGGGTGCCGGTTTGGCTGCGCTGTTTCGTTCGTTTGCTGCATGTTTTACTGACGGGATTGCTGCTTTCATTTTTTGTACGTTTCATTGGGGGGTTGCGGGCTTCGACGCCACCAGGTTCGTGCTGTACAAGGAGAAGAACATGCTCATGTCGCAGGTGCTGCTGAGCCGACGGTCGAAAGTGCCCATCCCGGCTGGGGACCGCAGGCAAAAGGTTGGTTTTTGGCGGACTCGTGTTTTCTGCCGTTGATTTCTCTTCCGCATCTGCGCGCCGTTTTTTGTTGAGAAGCGGAGAGAGGGGCGTCGCCTTGACGAGAGCTCCTACAGTACCCGTCGATGCCGAGGGTGGAGCTGTGTTACCACTGCTGTTGATGCGTGGAGCACATAATTCCGTTGTGTGATCGAAGGCTCGTATCTGAATTGCGTTCTAAGCAGCGTTTTGGAAGCACGTGCACTCACCAATCTGCGGCTATGCATGGTCGCACAGACAACCTCGAGTTAAACTCGCTAAAACCTTCGTGCTGCACGGAAGGTTGCGAGTACCTCCCCCCGTAGGCAGAAACACGGTGCGCCTGACCGACCAATACCCCCCAGTAGGACGGCCTTCTCTCCTGTCACCAACACGGCCGAAACCCGTGTAGAGTGTAGAGTACAGAGTAACGCACACCTTGCTTGAACATTATCCAGGTGAAGCAGTCGATGAAGGCCATCAAGGTAGTGGTGGGAGAACGCCAACGAGTTAAGCGGGCGGCCATCCGGGAGCGCCAGCTAGCCGCCAAGCGAGAGCAGCGGCAAGCGGAGGCGGCGGCAGCGGCAGAAGGCGAGGGTGGTGCACCGGAAAAGGGCAGCCAAGCAGCGTCGACTGATTAGTTAGCCAGGCAGGCCCTCCCCTACCAAACTTTGGTTTGTGTTGGCGATGGTCATATGGCGGAGGTGGCGTGGGCGCAACAGCCGGCATGCGTTGGAGTCGCTAGGGGGAAGAAGACACGACCGGGCGACGACCTGGCTGTGTGAGAGAAGACAACGAGGAGCGGTACAGCTACGCCCCGGTGGCCTAGTGGTATCCTCGTAATCCGCTAGTCGCAGAGGTCGTGAGTTCGAATCCCCATGGGGTGAAAAATTACGAAATTTGCGGGTGAAAGCAAAATGTAGCTAAAAAGCTCTCGTGAGTACCAAACTTCGACGTTCGCACCGTTGACGAGGGAAAGGGACGGCTGGACCCTTCTCGCGATAAAAATAAAATTCAGCACGCACCGCAGGAGGAAAGTGAGGCATGAAAAGAAATAAAAAGAAGAAAAAAGCCCTGGTGTTTACCCCCCTTCTGTGTGACCCTGGATGGTTGTAGTTGTAAGAAAAAACATTGAAAAGTGTAGTACTCTACATACGCTGAAAAGTGTAGCACACGTCTCANCAAAATGTAGCTAAAAAGCTCTCGTGAGTACCAAACTTCGACGTTCGCACCGTTGACGAGGGAAAGGGACGGCTGGACCCTTCTCGCGATAAAAATAAAATTCAGCACGCACCGCAGGAGGAAAGTGAGGCATGAAAAGAAATAAAAAGAAGAAAAAAGCCCTGGTGTTTACCCCCCTTCTGTGTGACCCTGGATGGTTGTAGTTGTAAGAAAAAACATTGAAAAGTGTAGTACTCTACATACGCTGAAAAGTGTAGCACACGTCTCACCACGAAAGATGGGAGGACTGTCGCCATAATAAAAAGGACGAAAACACACAATACACAGGGAGGGGCGAACATTTTGAGGGTCGAGCCTCAATCGCCGGTGTTCTTTCAACCCCACGTCTGATTGAACGTTTGGCTGGGGACGAAGTCGCGTGCAGAAAGCAGACATGAGTTGAAGGGTGCAACTCGCTTTGCGCGCATGGGGCTCCGCAAGTCGCGGGTCGGGGAACGTGCTCTCTCTCCCTCTCGATTGTGCTTCTCTTGATCGCGCGTCTCTCGTGACACGGAGCAGCATCCCGCTTCCCCCCCCTCGCGACGACACTGCCCAATGTTTTATTTAGGGCTTGTGCTTTACGTGCATTTGTCCGAGGAGAGTGATGTATGTGGTTCGGGTTCAGTCGAGTTTCTTCGGCGGCGGCGGCGACCTGCGTATCGAGGGTGTATCTCCCATCGTGGCATGGCTAGATGCTGAGGAAGTTTGCTGAAAACTGAAGGCCTTGATGACGTGTGGTGCAAGGGGGTGACGGCGTCGCCCTGCTAGAAGAGAGCGGCGGCTACGCCGCGGGGCTACGCCGACGATAAGTTGTGGATGGTTCACTAAAGGAGTCTTTCAAAAACGAGAATTAGGGCACGCGAGAGACGGAAATTTTCCGCCTGCGAGAAGTTGATCAAAGGCGCCAATCCTACATGTGTTGTGCGTTTCTTTTTTTCGGCCTCATTTATTCTAGAGCCAGTCTACACGGACGCACGAGCCGGGAAAGAAAAACTCCTGCTTACGAAACCTTCAGGGAAAGCACACAGACACGCACCACGCGTAGACGTCGACGATCAACAACTCCTGCCCTTGATGATGACCGAACCACATGGTACAATGCAAAGGGTTTTGCTCTTTCCTCGCTTGGCCAAGACATACAACACCGTTTTCAAAGTCGTGGCAGCTGCCTGCCGAGCCAAACCATCGCACAACACTCGCTACTTTTCCATCGCGTGCGTGCCCAGGTGAGGAGTCTCGACGCAGGCAGGCGTTTTCCCCATGTTGTGTTCAGTGGTCAAACTGCTCGTAAAACTAATGGTAAAGTAGTCTCTTGGCCTCGATCTTGCGAGACCGACCTCCACGAGCCTCTCCGCCAACCCATGATGTTTGTGTGTACGCTTATCCCACGGATGGTCACGGCTACACTTTGAAAAATCTCGAATGTGTAGTTCCCTGGCCACGTTCCGTCTACACCGCCCAGCTCTTCACCTCTAAAACAACGGCAAGAGCCTTGACCGACAGGTTTTCACCAGCACCGGCACGGGCGGTGTAGGTAATTTATTATTTATTTTTCGTCTTTTGCTGCTGCGTGCTCGCTGCGCTTTCAATATTTCTTAAATTCTAGTTCTTGCGCTCGATGATGTAGTCGGCGATGGCCAGCAGAGGCCGGGCCTTCTCGCCGTAGGGTTCCAACGCCTTGTGCGCTTCGTCCACAAGCCTGATCCGCGGTTTGGCGTCCGCACACGCAGGGGGGCAACGGGGATGGTCGGGGAGGAGGGGATGGGGGGGGCGGGGCGTACTCTTATGTTTTGCATGTCTTAGCGGTTAGACCTTTGACTACGCGTCCTCAAGAGGACGGAGCATTGTTCCCACAGGACCGATCACCGATGGCCAATCGTTCCTTTCTACTTTGCCACAGGTGGCTCAAAAATGTCTTCCCTAGTCTGTCTATCCTAACGATATCCCTTCCCGCCTTGTCAACCCACCTCCTATGCCCCACTACAGCTACCGTCCTTTCCTCTCTATTCC